ACCCCTGAACTCTCTGCATTACACACTCCTGACCCCTGAACTCTCTGCAGTACACACTCCTGAGCCCTGTACTCTCTGTGTTCTGTACTCTCTGTGATATACACACACTTGACCCCTGCACTCTCTGCATTGCACACTCCTTGCCCTGAACTATGATATACACTCCATATTAGAACAATGAAGCTCACCATGCCTCCAGCACAAGTAATTAGCATTCCGTAGTATGCAAAATATAACTACATCTGTACTTTTCTATTTATTAATATGTAAACAGGAAAATATTTTGCTTCTAACAGTTGTCTTTTTATCAGTTTGTTTCTCTGATGACACTAAAATATAAAATACAATGCTTTATGAGACTCTTCAGATGTATCTATATGTTTAATGTATAAGTAAAATTCCAAATAAAAGATGTTTTAAAAGACCTAGAGGAAAAGATAAATACTTATGTTTAAGTGCTGCTTTTTTGCATCTGGAGATGAAGGAAGGAGTTACTGAACATTAGGTATGAAACCATGCATAGAACACTGTCCCCACATACCACAAAATTCACATTCAACACATAGCTTATACATTAGTACTGTACACCATTGTGTCATACTGCTGAGCCAACTCCCATTATCTAAATTCATTAAAATAGCACAAAGATGCAGTTTTTTTCAAACCATGCTTTCTTTAAATTTTCTAATTTAGAGCAGTTAGCATTTTTTTTTTACAAAAAGCTCATTGGACGATTAGACATTTGCAAAATTCACAAAGTTTTTGTAAATATTTACAATTTAATCCTATAAGATTTCATACTAGAAAATTCACAATCTCGCACTTGTCTTTATCACAGGTTCTTTCCCCAAATAATGTTGTGCAGTGTAAAACAGACTGTACACAGTTATTTTTTTCTTTTTGCTCAGCCAGTAGGGTGAAAAAAAAGTAATAGGTTCCTCTGTCCACACAAATGAGGTGGATTCCCGCCTTCTCCGCCAGAACCCGCCACTTTCAGAATGCGCTAATCACTGACTGCAGCCACTGATCAAAGCAAATTTTTCTACATGTTCCTTTGACTTCTGTCGAGTGAGTACTGCCACTAGTGACGGGCCGAACACCCCCTGTTCAGTTCGCGGTCGAACATTCAAACTTAACAAAAGTTCGGCCGTGAGCTTCGAACAGAGGGGACTATTCACTAAGTGGTATCTTACTGCATCTGGATTTATGGTAAGATACTAAAATACCGCATGAGTTATATTATTAAGTCATGCAGTATTTTAGTAGTGAAAACATTCTTTCATGTTTCAGCTGTCAGTGGGGTTCCCCACTGACAGCTGAATGTAAAAAGAATTGCTGGCATTGCAAAACCCTTTTTAAAAAACTATGTGGGGTACCCCCCATTCCTACCAAGCCCTTCAGGTCTGATATGGATATTGAGGGGAACCCCCACACCAAATTTTTTTAAAAAGTGGTGTGGGGGTACCCCCCAAAATCCATACCAGACCCTTATCCGAGCATGTAGCCCGGCAGATCAGGAAAGGAGGTGATGAGCAAGTGCCCCCCCCCCCTCCTGAACCATACCAGGCCACATGCTTTTGGGGCAGGGGGGCATCGTCATGCGCTGTGATTGGCAAAAGCATTGCATTGCACTGTGGTCAGGTGCACTGCTTTGGCCAATCACTGTCATTCGCCGAACACATGAAAGGTCGATGTTCGAGTTGAACTTATGTTAGACTCGTACATTATGCCCAACACTAACTGCCACTGATTGAAATTCATCTGGTTTCTCCTGAACCAGCCAAGTTTTGATCAATGTAACTTAATGATATACTTGCTTCAAGGCAGGATATAGATTATGAATATGGCACGAAGGAATAACAAAGATCACTCCAGAGTAAGGACAGGCAGAGTGATTTTGGTGAAATGTACTGTATTTTGCAAAAGCAAAACTCTCACGTTTGCTCGCTGAGCTGATTAGGCTAAATTTGCTTGAAAAAAAAAAAGAAATACATGTTTGCTATCTCTTTTAGATGTGTTTCTTGGGTAGTGTTTTTAGGGTAGTTTTGCTGATTTCATTTAGTGTATTTTGTATGTGCTTTTCTTTTTCCAATCCTATATTTAACAATGTATTTGATCAAAAGTTCCATAATGCTACTTTCAGTTGTTTTACTTTGCTTTTCTCCACTGCCTGTTTTTTCATTTGTGAATAAAATGTAAATTACTTGCTAATGAGGAGCAGTTTTTGGCATGAGAACAGCTCCAAGATAGTTTCCATAACCACCAGGAGCCATTATACCCCTATATTACACCAAAAAACAACATTATTTTGAGGAAATTAAATGTGAGTTTTGCACATCCATACTTAAGAGAAACCTGGAGTTGTCTACTTTGTAGAAAGCTAAGCTTCAACATAATGAATGGCTTCCCAATGCTACCACTTGTAGGTTTATGTTATGAATTAAGGCTGGATATTAGAAGTACAGTAAGGCAATGTCTACTCTCATTCACACAACAGTTTCAGATAGGTGAAACAGGCCAGTCCTCTCATAATACTGTAAACACAGGGACCTGCACGCCACATGAGATGCCTCTTTGCATTACACGTCAGAAAAAGTGCAATAAGCAAAACTTGCATTCACTCAGTTGGGTGGCACCTCTTTTCTGCAGCTCATGTCCCAAGCAGTCTGTACATGATGACAATTTGATTACATGATCAAAAGTTCCAGATAGTTCAGTCTGAGTTCAAGTCCAGAGCCCTTTTTTGTTTTTAATTAAAAATACTTCTTTTGTCCCTCATTCCTTTTTGCTTCATCCAGAAGCATTATAAATACTTGCTTAAATGTTGAATCCAGTTAAAATATTTATACAGTATATATAATTCAGTCAGTTATGTTGCCTTAGTCAAAGAGAAGCATCTGCTTTTAACAGTTGTTTAGGTACATCAATACATAACCTTTGAACTTGCTTTCATGCTTATTGTTTACATTATGAGCATCTCAAAAATAAACTCTAAAAATATAGAAATGAATTTTATGCCAAATAGTTTGTAAAAAAAGAGACATGGCAATGATAAGGCACTGGGAAAGGCACTTACCATGTCTTGTTATGTACTGTGCCTCGGTGTGGCAGCCATTTTGTGGTAGAGACAAGGTTTTATTTTCTCGTGTCAGAACATCCAGCAAGGAAAAGCGTGAACATTACAGTAGTGATATCACCTGTGAAATCTCCTAAGACTAGCTGTCAGGAGAAGCAGTGCCTTGGATGTAACAATGAATTTATAGAGCTATGAGGCTGTAGGTACAGGAGTGCATAGGCACCTTCTCCAGGAAATGCACTGTTATTTTTCATGAGGAATTCAAGAGGTACTTTGTTTAGGGTACCATTTAGGCACAATTAACATTTCTTAATGCTCCCTCCAGCTTCACTATTTGTATTCGGTGCCACTTTAACTCCTTGGCACCGACGGTACACAAATATGTGGCCTCTCGGCGGCTGAGCCTTGACGCAGATAGGCTACATATTTGCGTGCCCAATGTAAACAAACATTTGCCAACATCGCGCACCCTGTGTGCTCCCGGCACATTTACTGGAGCCTCATGGAAAGGCTTTCTGATCTTGTGACCACTGTGACAGCCAATTACGGTGGTCACATGACCCTAAACCCCGCTTCCCAGCATCACAAACACCTTAAAGGTCCGGGAGGCGCCGGTGCCCAGGGATTAAGTGTAGGCTGTAATGGAGCATATGACTTGGCAAAGCACAATTGGCTAGATTCCTAGGAGGAATATAGAATGCTCCATATTGCCCCATGATCATATCTACTATACTGAAATGTTTATCCTATATACTGAAAGCTGGCTTTTACCATTCCCATATATGTAGATAGTAGACATACAGATACTGTACATGCAACATCACATTCCTTCTGTTGCAGCACTTGGAAGTATGAGGTATCCTCTTAGATTAACTGTTTCCATATGCTAAGTTTCTAATACTTCTATAGATGTGTGATGCATATTTATGCAACTGCATAAAAGGAGGGTAAAAACACTCCTCAGGGCCTGTGGTTCTGTGGGCTGTGCCAGTGTCATGTGTCATCTTGGCACAGTATCCAGCAAAACCTAAGAGCCGGTTCCCATATATGCAGAGTGGATGCGGTTTGAACCGCATCCAATCCACATGACATGCAAAATAACATTGCTTCCTATGGTGCCTGTTCACATATGTTCGGTGCACTGGCAGTGCAGACTTATGCAGGCCATACATGGTTCGAATTCCGAACGATTTTCGTACGGAAATCGGACCTAAGAATAATCCGCCGATTTTCACTCTATTAGTGGGGCAATGGCATCGGACGATTTTCGTGGTTCCTCCTCATTTTGTTTATCAGGCATGCTGGAAAATTCATGAAAAACGACCGATTTGCAAAATCATTGGTGGCACCATCGGATTACAGAATGAACGACGTTTTGATTTTCAGACGAAAAATCATTCGGAATTTGAACCATGTATGGCCTGCATTAGTGTGGATTCAGTGCGGTTTGAAAAAGAGTCCTCTCTAATTTCCAAGCTGTGTCCTCAGTTTCAGGTGCAGATTACAGGCTATTGACTTCTATGAGAACTGTTTCTAAACCGCACATGTGTGAGCAGGATAAAATCTGGACTTAATCCTGTCCTGAACCTGATGTAAACCTGACATGAACCACTGAACAACTACTGTATCAATTAGCTGTGAAACCTGACCTTCAATCCTGCACATGTGTGAATCAGCTCTAAACAAGTATGCCCCTCTCCAACCCATAAACCTTACAGTGCAGCCACTTCTGTGGCAAGCCTCTTTTAAACTGTGGATGACATAAGGCAATTCAATTCAATTATCTAAGGAAAGTTAAAGAGCTGAATTAGCAAATGATCTTCTGACTTCTGAGAAATAGTTTTTATATATGAGTTCTTTATAGATACAAATCCTTTATTGTGGTAGGAGATAGTAGAGAAAGAACTGGATTTAGAGCCTGTATTCACATGCAGGTGACTTGGGTCACGGCTTCTTCTTGTTCATACTGTACATCATCCAGGTCTCTTAGCATACTATCATTGCTGCAGAAACCAGAAAAACTTCCAAAATGCTGACTGTTGTCTGTATTCCAGTACTGCTTGGAAGGAGAGAGATGTAATTCATTTGATGGTTGCCCAATTTCAAAGCTTCCTGGAGTCTTCTGTCCAATGCTTCTGCTGGATTTGTTATTCCTCTCTTCATTTACTGTTTGTTGTCTCACAGACGTTTTCTAAAAAAAAATTAAATACAATTGTCTGCTCAGTGAAATGACAAAAATAAATGAAAACAGAAATTACTACATATATTATGTAGCACTACCCCCTTAGGGATTGCTGATAAATGTGGGTCCCCCTATAGCCCTGAACAGCCAGTCAGTTAGCATTTTCCACACAGCTTTCATCCACAGACAGAAATCAGGCCTTGAGCATTGTTTTTTCTGTTTTATTTAGGGGATTAAACTTGGATAGGATAAGGGATGTATAGGATGCCCAAGGGAACTGAAATCTTAGGACAACTTCCTGAGCTATTCACAGCTTCTCATCTCTGACACAGTCTCTGTTGGAGTGCTAGCCAGAAGCTCCAGTTGCACTACCCCGACCATAGATGAACTCCTCTTCACCCAGAAATCTGGAGATTGAACAGGGGATCTGGATCCTGTTCGTTTAAGTAAGGTGTACAGTTACTAGCAGAAGGCTATTCTGGTTTCCCACCAGAGTGCTCCTTCACCTATCCGCCAAGGGGGTGCAGGTGTACTCACTCAAGTCCTCTCCTGTACCACTTGCGGAATGGCTGCTGCTACCAGGCCTTTCAGCTGGGCTGCTCCTTTCTGCCATACAGGAAGTCCTCTCTCAGAAGACCAGTGAGCTCCAAGTTTTCCTCTTTTCCAGCTCCAGGCTCACAGGCAGGCACCATCTCACTAGGCCTCCTGGCAGCATATCACCTCAACCTCACATCTTCCTCTCTCCTTCTTCCATCCAACTCTCCTCCTACTGAGCAGGCTCCATAACTTTTAAGGGAGTCCAGCCCCTTGCCAAGCCTCCTGTTGGGGATTGGCTGAGGTCCCTCAAAAGTGCAGCCAACCAGTCCTCAGACCCACCCAATGCCTCCAAGGCCCTCTTCTGAAAGCCTCACCTATCTCACCTGAGCTGCTAATCACCTTCTCACTAGCCATTAGGGTCTAGCTCCCCCTACCTAAACTAGGAGGGTGCTACAATTAAATTTACTGTGTGTCAGGTTATGAAAATGTTGATAACTGCCTGTGTAATACAGTGCATGTACAGTATGTACTGTGTGTATGATGATGACAGGATTTTGGATGGTGTTGCTGTATGTACAACTAGCATCTTTAGGCTGACTTCTCATCCTTCGTGTTACTTTCACTTAAGTGACTCTCTAGGTAGGGAATCCAAAATCAGGCTGACATCCCCTGCATCTTTTAAAACAAGGCATCCATGGCAAAGCTTGTATTTTTATCCTCATAAGTTTATGTCAAACAATTGTGGTTAAAGCCTGAATCCACCTTTTGTAATTAAATAAAAAAAAAAAAATAGGTAACTCATAATGTTTAAAAAATAAAAAGCCGCTTTTGCTGCAATACTCACCCACTCTCTGGTGCTGTTTCTTAAAGGCTCACCATTTTGTAAGCTGCAGCTGGTCCTCTTCTGAGCTGAATGATGCCCAGCGTCATTCAAACTACTTTTTGTGAGCCCAGGCCATCATAGACACCCTCCCTGGGGTCTTATCTTTACAGACTACTGCATATAATGTTGCTCAAACATTATTATATAGGCTCCGCTCTGTACAGAAGTAAAGATTGCCCACTTCCAACACCAGAGCAGAAGCAGAAGGACAAGTTGTCAAATGACAGGTCAAGTGACTTCAGGATTTAAGATGTGTATAAAAGGATTTTTTGAGAAATAGATGCATGGGGCTTCATGAGGGACAAAGTGTGTGGTTCTCTTAAAACCCAAAGTTGAGCTTTAAACTTGGAACAAGAAATGTGTCCTGGATTCAGTCACCTAATACAATCTCTACTTGGGTGATAACTTACTTCGGGTGACTGAACCGCTGAATGTGCATGTGGAATAGCAGATCTTTGAAGAAATATGATTTGTTTTGTAGTCAGATTTCCTTCACTAAAAAAATAGATACATACTGTTAGTTGGCATCATATTTATATTACATATTATTTCCTATATAAAAAAACTGCAAAAACACACACAGAAGGGCACAAACGCCTAGCACATTACCACTATCAGCATTTATTGGCTAAAAATTCAAATACATACAAACACTTCTAAAAACAGACTGAAAACTCCATCCATAGGCAGTGTCATCTATTCGTTTAGAAAACTGATGCATTTCGGGAGTAAACCCCCTTTCTTAAAGCTAACCATATTTCCTGTATATGCCAACCTACAAAAGCTTTCTTTTTTCCCACCTTATGTGTTTGTCATGCAGAAATACACAAATGTACCCAGCTAGCAAATGAGAATGGATTTAAATCCTGCTTTTTTAAATTAGATCAAAAACAGATGCATTTATTTGTAAATACAAACTGTATGGAAACCGTGCACTACATTGGAGGTGCCTCTGACAGTGTGGCTGCTACTATCACCTATGGGAGTACCAGTATTCGGGACATATGGAGAATATTATATTGAGAGTATAATTAAAAGAAAACCTGTCACAAGGATATATGGAGGCTGCCATTGCTGATCTACTCCTGTAACGTAAATAGTGGCAGAAATTCTGCAGTGAAAGGGAACCTGCAATCGTTTTGATATTTTGGAATATAGCTAAAAGAAATCAGCTTAGGGACAATCTTATCCATGTGTATTAATGTATTAAAATGTTTTTAGGTATAGTTTGTAATTGTGGGTATCCATGTGGATAGACATTTTGATCTTATTATCACAATGTTGATTAAAAAAAAATAGACTCTGCAGTAATTGGTAGCCAGACAACCAGAGAATATGTGATCCAGGAGGCCTGGGACGGGAGTTGGGAAACAGCATCTTTCTATTCATACAAAGCAAGAAGTATTTATTTTTTACTAAAAATAATATTGTGATTTGGTAATGCGGACACAATGCCTCTTTCACAGGAGGGGACTGATTAGGTCTACCTGTCTGATTTTCAGGCGGACCCATTCGGTTAATACCGTTTACATGTTTATCCTTCAAAATTCTCCCTTTAAAAGCACACTCACATTATGCAAGTAAATATACAGCCTTTTTGCATATAAAACTTTCTGCAGCCTGCAGCACACAGTCTCCTACTCCCAGAACACACAGTGGCATCTCACCAGCCGTAGTCAGCAACAGATGCCGCGGTTGTGGTCACGTGGTCCAGCCACGTGATAGCGGCGTGCGTGATGACGTCACTGCTCAATCACGCCATAACGCATTTCGTTCACACAACTCCCTCGGGCGAAGTCGTGTGACGAAACACGTTAGGGCGTGATCGAGCAGTGATGTCATCATGTACGTGGCTGGACCACGTTAACCCAACTGCGTCATCTGTTGCTGACTACGGCTGGTGAGACGCCACTGTGTGTGCTGGGAGCAGGAGACTGTGTGCTGCAGGCGGTTTTATATGCAAAAAGACTGTATATTTACTTGCATAATGTGAGTGTGTTTTTAAAGGGGGAATTTTGAAAAATAAACATTTAAATGGTATTATGCTATGGCGAGTGTTTTCTATCTATTCACATGTGGCTTATACTTACCATGACGGAGAGTAATGAGATCAATCATCTGATGAATGAGTATTATCGTTATGCTGCTGAATTTTCCACATCCATTGATATTTGAAAGATATGCTGGTTAACCACCAGTATCTGGTGAGTTAGCACTTTGATGGGGTGTTGAGCACTGGAATATGCACGTTTGTGGAGAAAATATTTCTATTGGAAAAAGATTTCATATGTTCATTGAAGAAAGATATATATATATATATATATATATATATATATATTTGGACTTTACTTAGTGGACTTTTTGTTTGATTTAAATATATATATTTTTGGTATATATATTTTTTTGGCAAATATTTGCACTTTATTTGGTGGCAGTTTTATTTTATTTATTATTTATTGTTTTTATTTTCATATATAATTGTACATATGTAATTTATATTCACTTATATATTGGTTTTATTAATTTTGGTATATTAGAAGGTTGAGAGCGCTGTTTGTGGGATTTTCTATTTCACTTTTTATATATTGTTTAATTAATTTGAAAATAGCAGCTCTAATTGAAATATTTATCTGGATTATCACATTCACGAGGTGCGATGTTATAGGCTCTTGGATGTATTGATAGTTATATCATTACCATTCTTTTGCCTATATATCTAACAAAAAAAGATAAATACAAACTTACCTGTTATATTTAATTATTGGTGTTGGTATGACACATGTAAGGCACCATCCAAATTCAGCCAGTGTATGCAGCAAAGGACCATAGTCAGCTTTAATTTCAGAGCCCTAGTGTAACATTTAATACTCATGAATACATTTCACTTTTAATAATCCGAAGAAACTGTGCAATCATAATAACATAAAGTAAGCGTAAACCCTATTTCAGCACTTCTGGTCCCCAATGCACAGCAACTCTCATCATGAGTTTTCTGATGGTGAAAACAGTAGACCATGACTGTGTAATGTGTGTTGAAGTGGCCATTTGTAGTCTCCATCGGAAGACCATTTGACAGGGTGACAAAACAGGAGCAAAACTGAAAGCCAGAGCATTGTCACCACTGTCAGACATTAGTTACGAAAGAGAAAATAAACAAATGTATCTTCCTGTTCTTCAGCCATTTAAAACTTTTTTTTTGGAAAAAATAGCAAACAAAAAACAATATAGCATATAGAATTGCTACACAAGTCATATTGTAATCTAATGTTATAAAAAGTTATCTTTCGATTTGGATCTGCAGCGCTGTAATTTTCTGAAAAATAAAAATGTAATATGGAAACCTGGAGGTCTTGGTTTCTCTGTTGGTGTATAGAATACCTCCAAAAATACCATCCCCTGCATCTGTGAGTGGATCCACTGCTGAATTGGAGCCAAACTGGACTGATGTAAGTTTTTTTACATCTGTGCCCATTCAGTTTGTGTCTGGCAGACATGGGTGGACCTATGATAGCTCCATGGGTGGTCAGATTATCATGCTACCTCCAATACATCACATTTAGGCCAGGAAAAACTGAAAAAAATGCAGCCCTTTTCCATTTTTTTCTGGAGCTGGACAGACTTAGAGGTAGGTGGGTGTAAACAAACACAAGTCCCTTGACATCAGTCTGTTCATAGAGCTGCATAGATTTACTGATCAGGTCCTCAAAAACTGACAAGCGGACCTGATCAAAAAGCCATGTGAAAGAGTTCATTACTTCTAAAGGGACGCAGACACTTCAGCATTTCTTATCAGAAGAATGAAAGTGCACCAGCTTATTAAAATGAACCAGATCCTCCCATTCAAAATCTATCTGCATAGCACATGGTCAAACACAGAGCTATTTCTCCAGTAGGAATCCGCAACAAAATTTGTCAAAATGCTTGCAATGCACAGTGATCAACCAGAAGGGATTGTTTTCTTTTCAACAAACGTGGAGTTAGGCCCTTTCACACGGGTGGACTCCGCCAAGCAAATCTTCCTGCACAGTGGGGGATCTGTCCGCTGATCCCCGCTGAGTAGGTGGATGACAGATCTGTGAACAAGCAGCCTGCTGTTCTCTATGGAGGGGTTGGAAGTAAACGGGCCGCCTGTCTGTTTACACCCAACGGCCATCCGATCCAATCTGCTAGACAAATGGGGAATGGGTCATTCGTCTGTTTTTAGCTGCTCTATAGAGCACACTAGAGAGTCCAATTGGCTCTGCCTAAAAAACTGACTGGTGGAATGGGGCCTTACTCTTTCATGTACATCTAAAGCTATAACTTTTTCTTTAGTTAGTATGTGTAACTGGAACCTGCATTTGCTGTGTGTAAGTGCAGTGGCTGTTTTGACTACATTTTATTTTATTTCAGACTTACCACTATGAGATTAAACTTAAATTTCATGAAAATGCTATCAGAGTCTAGGGAGTGGCACATATGAGCTTATTGATTAAAGCAAAGTAGAAATGTTATAGTATTAAGAAGTGACTTTGCTCATATTTGTAAACTGCATTTTACTTTACTAAGTACTTTACTGTTAAGCTGGCAGCTGACGGGAAGATGGCCAAGCAGCTAATTCCACCTTCTCCCCAGGAGATGTCAAAGCTCTGGCCAATGTTTACAGAACTGTACAGTACTGTATATTGAGTCCTAGCTTCTGACTGACCAATGCTACTGTGATCTAAAGGCTGGCGATTCGCAGTATATTTTCTGTCACTATAGGGAAATACCCCATCTGACAGCTTTTGAGGTTGAGAACATACAGTACATGCTGATTAGTTACTTACTGGAGCTGCCATCCCTTGATGAGTTGATGAGGTGGGTTTAAAGAAGCTTTGGAGACTCTTGGTGTTCCAGCACTCACTGGTTTTCAGAAGCTCGGGTGGTGAGGGAATTAGTGTGCCACTTGGAAGGGGGTGGGGGAACTTGTACTAGGGTATTTGGTCTGTCAATGCAGGTAACTAATGTAACCAATCAAAATTCATACTCTCTGATTAAATCATGTATTGTAATGATACTCTGTCTAACTGGATGGATTTAGCTTTACAATTGTACAATAGAGTAAAATGCAATGCAGAGCACCAGAACACATATACCATGCATTGCGGTGAGCTGTGTTGTTAAAAAAGAGGGTAATGCATGTTTTTTTTTTCCATTGTGGTATTTCGGCAGCTCATTCATAATTTATAGGCTACCTTAACACAGTGCACATTAACACACATACCAACGTGTGTGCATTGACACTGCTAAAGAATATGAAATATGAATGTGCCCTTATAGTATATTATCTATAGACAAATCCAATTGAGTCAGCCCCAAGCTCAGGATATTTGTTTACCTTTTTAGTACTTCTCTAACCCCTACTGGCTGTGCATGCATCACACCTCTTCAGTCACCACAGAGTTGAATGGAGCTCCTAATACTGGAGGTATTCTGGAGACAGCCCAATTCAACTCAGCAGTAGCCTACTGTACTGCATCTAAGTATGTTTCTATTTGGAGAATGTTGAATACGTGTGCTCAAGAGGGTCAGGGGTGGCACAATTATTTGCATTTACAAATCAAATTGAAAAGTGTAACAGTTTTGTACAAATGTATTTTCATTTTACTATGGTCAGCAACAAAAATACAATTGTAAAGTAAATACATAGATATGTTTTATAATCTTATATCCAGCCAGCAGGTGGGCTTTCTAACATTTTTCTTCATGGTCTTTAGTAAAAGGCCTGGTGTTTACAGAGTTCAACATATCAAGCTTAAATTTAAATGGCTAAATAAATGCGCTAAAGCATTGACTCCTCCCTGCTAAACATTGATGACCGAAATTTCAATGAGAGACAGCTACCTAAGAGGAGATAACTACAGTTGCACTTTGCAAGTTGTATTTAGAAATTATATAGTAGTCTGGGAATTCTTTGTCATATATTTAAATGTATATTTGTTGAAGAGTTTATGCAAATATAGTAAAAACTTACCCAAAACATTTTTACTTTCTCTTTATTGTTGCCTGAAGGTAGAAAAGACTACATATTTTCTTTTCTAAGTGATATAAAAAAATAAAACATAAGTATTACCTCAAATACAGTCCATTGTTCTACTATAATTGCATCATTTCCTTTATTCTTCGACCCTGTTAGTTGGGCAGCTTCATCCTCATAGATGAATAATCCATCCAATGATTTTGGTGACAGGTCTCCTAGAATAGGAAGAAAGAGCAATTAGTTTTACATTTGGTGAATTTAGTCATGTTTTTCCTATCTATGCCATTATCCAAAAAATAAAGCTAATGGCATGCCTGTAAAATGGGCACATTTTATATCCCACCCAGAAGTCTTAGTATATTGGCCCTTGCAGTGTGAAAATTTCCCATCTCCCTTTGGCATTCACCATTCAATATGTCATCCCTTTTCTCCTCTCTTAAAAGAGAAGTATGACCAAAAGCTTTTCTGGCTATAGTTTTCTTATAAATCACAGGAGTGCAGTTAGTTCTGCACTCCTGTGACCCATTTTCAGCTAACAGTGGGCTAAAGCCTGCTGTCAGCTGACATCACTCAGCTTGTCCAGGCTCTGAATAGATTCTGACCATATGGTTGGGATCCACCCAGATGCTTAGAGCAGCTGGATCAGCCTCTCAGCTGCGCTGCTGTGACACTGAGCCAGCCACTCCTTCCCCTTCCTAGCCCAGTGCTCCAGTAGAGACTGTCAGTCACAGCTGTCTGAGTGGAGGGGAGAACAGAGTGATCAAAGGTGTTTCATCTCTCAGTTCTCAGTGCAGAGGTGGTGGGGGACAGAGTCCACCTAGGTAAGAAAGGGGAATCCTTTACCCAAGGGGAATCCCCAAGTGTGGATACAGAAGGAGCTTTTGCCCATAACTCACTGCTCAAACCTCAAGATTAAGAGCATCTTCTCCCTCCAACCCCCAATCCCCATCGCCCAGGGGCGGACTGACCATTTCAAAACTCAAGCACTGCCCGAAGGCCCGGGGTCAGTAGGGGGCCCCATGAGATGCCCCTGATACCTTTTTCATAGGCTTTTTTTGAGTTTGGGCAAGGACACAGGGGCCCCATGATCCCCTATTGCCCGGGGTCCCATGAGTTGTCAGTCTGCCCTGCCATCGCCCCTATGTTTTGGGGGTTTTTCTGACAAATAACTTCATTAAAACTTAATGACAAAGTTCCCACAATATATAAGACAAAAGAAAACAGACGGCAGTAGGCCAGTTACAATCAAAAAAAGAAAAAGTACAGCACTAGAATAGCAGTTTCAGTATGTCCCACTACCTGCATGGGTGAAGTGGTTATATAACATGTAAACAAGCTAGCCTTACAAACCCAAGAAAAGTAACCGAACTACAAAAAACTAGACCGTGTCTAATAGACGACAGGGAGACTGCGTGGTCCACCACATTGCCTCTTCTCTTACGGTCTGTAGAGGTACTGCAGTGACATGAGGCACATAACCCATGAATGCCCCTATGTTTTTGACCTTCTCTGAGAAACCAAAGAAATTCTGGTTCGCTTAATTGTATAGCATGGACATAAAACACATTTGTTTTCAGAGACACTTTATTAGGTCAATGACATGAAAATATATGATCTCCTTAAATAGGTATTATTCTGAATAGCTACTGTTTCTGACTTTCTGTGCCAACTGTATGCACTCTCTAGAATTCTCAAAACAAAAAAAAATGGACACATTTACTTCACATGGTGATGAATTTATTGTGTTACAATCACACTGCCCATGATTCAGTATACCAGGAATGTAAACAAATTAAGGAGCAAACCTAATTGCAATATAAGGAAGGAAGCCAAAAGTGGAATGTTACTGGTGATTTAAACTCCTTTATTTTTCTTTACAGCATTATCAAAAGACACCAGCAATTGTGTGTTAATGTTGGAAAATTGTATACTTTGATATTTTATTCATCTGCTAAAGCATATACTAGGGGAAAAAAACATATGCAGTACATCTCTTTTATGGGGGAAAATGGTGTATTTATAGTAGTTTTTTGCTCCAATTAGTGATCTTTGGATTCTTCCTTTTTTATGTACTGTATGTGATCTGTATTTGTGCAGTGTTGATTTCTATTTTACATTCGTTCATTGTCTGTTTTTTTCTTTCTGTGAAATTTTTTTTTAAAATAATGACGAGACCATTTTTTGGCAAACAGGTCTAGGATAACTTATAGGAGCTTCCGCAACCCTCATAAGCCATTTAAATGCCATTACATGCTTGAAAACCGCCAAAAACAGCCATGGATATATACTGCTTGTGAGTGGTAAACAAACAAAATAAAATTGTGTGGGCACTGCTTAGCCACCTCAATAAAAGCATGTTACATGCGCCCTTACTTTTCAGGCCATTTTACAGTTTTCAATACTGTAATAGTTTGACTGACAATATTAACTCAACAATGCACCCAAATTAACACCTATATCTAAATCAATATTAACATCACAGTGATAACAAGGCTAAAGGTGATCATATAGTAAAGGCCATGCTCTGTGCCTTTAGCTAATGATCTCTGCTGTCTAATGAGGAGATAGTTAAAAGATATTTAAAATATCTAAACCCAAAACCAAAAATGTTAAATATTGATTACCATTTCTTAGATGTGGTGGATGCAATAAATGAATTTTTCAGGTGAGGAACATTTAGAGCAAGTACAGAAAATACCTATTGATTTGCCAGAAATGCAGTGGGCTTGTCACTTCCCATGAATTAAACAGATATCAATGTTATCTTTCTTTCACTCTGTCTTTTGTAAACTACAAATTCCCCTGCCTTCTATGTCTTGGAGATAAAGAGAGGAAGACATGCTTGTAGTCCTGTCTTGATCTAAACCCATGGCCACACTATAGATACAGTGGAGAGATGGGCATAGCACCCTATGAACAGGAAAGGTTTCCCTGCTGAACCGACCATATTTGGATCAGTGTATGGCCAGCTTTATTCTCAGGATTACCAGGTGTAAATAAAGGGGCAAAAGACTTAGACTTTAAACAATGAGGATTTTACAGGATAATTATACCTAGTGAGGAGTCAGCAAACTTAATCTTAGAAAACAAAACAAGGATATTTTGCATTTATGCAAAAGTTCAGTAACCAATAGCAACCTATCAGAATTCATATTTCATTAAAATAAAGTATACTGTTTTAGGAAAGTATCAAGGGTAGTGCGAGCATGTGTTTGGTTAAAAATCCAACACCAGATTTATTTGTAGTCATTAGTATAACAAAGGTCTATTAGTATGAAATCAGCTACAGTTTAATCTGGCAGCTAGCATTTCAGGGCAAAGGAGCAATGTATGTAGAGTATACACTCACCAGCCACTTTATTAGGTACACCTTGCTAGTACCGGGTTGGACCCCCTTTTGCTTTCTTTGCCTTCAGAACTGCCTTTACTCTTTGTGGCATATATTTAACAAGGTGTTGGAAACATTCCTCAGAGATTTTGGTCCATATTGACATAATAGCATCGCGCAGTTGCTGCAGATTTGTCAGCTGCACATCCATGATGCGAATCTCTCGTTCCACCACATCCCAAAGGTGCTCTATTGGATTGAGATCTGGTGACTGTGGAGGCCATTGGAGTACAGTGAACTAATTTTCATGTTCAAGAAACCAGTTTGAGATCATCTGTGATTTGTGTCATGGTACATTATCCTGCTGGAAGGAGCCATCAGAAAATGGGTACACTGTAGTCATAAAGGGATAGACATGGTCAGCAACAATACTCCGGTAGGCCGTGGTATTTATACGATGCTCAGTTGGTACTAAGGGGCCCCAAGTGTGCCAAGAAAAAATATCCCCCGCACCATTACACCACCACCACCAGCCTTAACTGTTGATACAAGGCAGGATGGAGCTATGCTTTCATGTTGTTTACGCTAAATTCTGACCCTACCATCTGAATGTCGCAGCTGAAATCGAGACTCATCAGACCAGCCAACATTTTCCCAATCTTCTTTTGTCCAATTTTGATGAGCCTGTGCGAATTGTAGCCTTTCTGCTGCTGTAGCCCATCTGCTTCAAGGTTCAACATGTTGTGCATTCAATGATGGCATTCTGCATACCGTGGTTGTAACCAGTGGTTATTTGAGTTACAGTAGCCTTTCTATCATCTCAAACCAGTTTGCCTATTTTCCTCTGACCTCTGACATCAATAAGGCATTTTTGCCCACACAAATGCAGCTCACTGGATATTTTCTCTTTTTCGGACCATTCTCTGTAAACCCTAGAGATGGTTGTGCATGAAAATCCTAGTAAAACAGAAAGTTTTGAAATACACAGACCAGCCCGTCTGGCACCGACAACCATGCCATATTCAAAGTCACTTAAATCCCCTTTCTTCCCCATTCTGATGCTCAGTTTGAATTTTAGCAAGTCATCTCCACCACATCTAGATGCCTAAATGCATTGAGTTTCTGCCATATAATTGGCTGATTAACAATTTGTGTTACCAAGCAATTGAACAGCTGTATCTAATAAAGAGGCCAGTGAGTGCATATGATCTCTTCTGTATGAAGATTAACTATTATCTTACACACTTGAAAATTCAAACAGTTAACAGACTTCTCTTTTTTAAACATCACATTCCCCACTATCCTACAAAAGGCTATTGCTGTTAACACATTACAGGTGATTATTTTATGTTATATACAGACTTTGTAACCATGTGGTTGCTGCTGAGGGTCAAAAGAGACTAGAAGTGGCTTTACACTGTACTCAACAACAATTCCAAAATAGAAACAAACAATTAATGCATGGATTGTCTTTAATAAATAGGAGCTTAAGCCCCCGGGCACATCAAGCCCGACTTTGAAATCGTGCGACTGTGAAGTTGCACGATTTCAAAGTCGGGTGAACCGTCGATTTCAGGCGTGATTTGCAAGACATCTGACACAGGGCACAATTCACTAAGCGATATTTTACCGCATCCGAGTATACGGTAGGTTACAGCATAGCATTTAAAAAAAAAAAGTTTGAATTCGCTAAAAAAAAGTTATTAAATACTGAATGAGTTATTTTATCAAGTGATGCGGTATTTTAGTAGTGAAAACCATGTGTTAATGTTTTCGCTGTCAGCGGGATTCCCCGCTAACAGCTGAATGTAAAAGAAAGAATTGCCGGCACTTAAAAAAATAATTAAAAATGGCGTGGGGTGGGGTCCCCCCACCCTCCATCCATACAAGCCCTTTGAGTCTGGTATGGATTTTGAGGGGAACCCCCACGCCCAAATTAAAAAAAAAAGCGTGGGGTCCCCCCCTCCATCCATACCAGACCCTTATCCGAGCATGCAGCCCGGCAGGTCAGCAAAGGGGGGGGGAGACGAGTGAGCGCCCTTTGAGTCTGGTATGGATTTTGAGGGGAACCCCCCCCCTCCTGAACCATACCAGGCCACATGCCCTCAACATGGGGGGGTGCTTTGGGGATTCTACAAAGCACCTTGTCCCCATGTTGATGGAGACAAGGACCTCTTCCCCACAACCCTGGGCTGTGGTTGGGGGGTCTATGGGTGGGGGGCTTATCAGAATCTGGAAGCCCCCTTTAGCATGGGGGCCCCCAGATCCTGGCCCCCCCATGTGAATAAGAATAGGGTACATGGTACTGCTACCCATTCACAAAAAAAGTGTAGTGTGAAAAAAGACATGAGACAGTCTTTGACAAGTCCTTTATTAAAAGAAGAAAATTAAAAGAATGCCCCCATGCTCAGATAAGAGTATGGTATGGATCTTTCATTTTTTGAAAAAACTTTGGCGTGGGGGTTCCCTCAAAATCCAAACCAGAACTGAAGGGCTTGGTATGGATTGAGGGGGGGAACCCATGCCGGTTTTTAATTATTTTTTAATTACTAGCAATTCTTTCTTTTACATTCAGCTGCCAGTGGGGAACCCCGCTGACAGCTGAAACATTAACGCATAGTTTTCACTGCTAAAATACTGCATGACTTGATAAAATAACTCATGCAGTATTTTAGTATCATTTTTAGTGAATTCAAATGTTTCTTTTTTTTAAATGCTATGCGGTATCCTACCGCATACTCGGAAGTGGTAAGATACCGCTTACAGATGTCTATGCAAATCTCACCAAAAGTAGTGCATGTACTATTTTATAAATCGGTGCGGCTCCGACCAAGTCTACATTTTTTTTATACATTGTAGACTGTATTGCGGATAGCCTTTTTCTTCCCCTGAGGAAGACCAGGAAGACTAAACATGTTGGGAAGTACCATCTGTGCACCGCAGGAAACAGTCAAGCATGTTGTGATCATCAAGTTGTTGTAACTATTCATGTAATTTTATTAACATTAATAAATTGCAAAAAAATCCTTTAAAAGATTATTCTAATTATTATTACGCACCTTTAAAATCCCACAACCTACTCCTTTTTGTACTTGGTTGTCCATGTTTGCCCACAGTTACACATTAGGGGTTTAATAAATAAATTATAGAAATAGAAAATAAGAAAGTAAAAGAGAAAAACACTTACCTCGTAATGTTTCCCAGTGAACAAAAGAATCAATTAAAGAAAAGCCTTGCTTATAATAAAATGTTGTCATTTCCAGCCAGTCAGCTTCAAGTGCACTGATTGTTGGGCCTTTTCTACAGACCTTCATAGAGAGGTTGCCTTCAATATATTTGTAGCAAGCAAGATCATCATCCAAAGCATTAAATACAGCATATAATGTTTTTCCTAATGAACAAAAGGAAAGTGGAATTGAGATTGTTTTAATTTATCTATTTTGTATTTGTTTTTTTTTAGCTGGTTTGCATTAGACCTGCTAATATATTGCATTAATTTATGCTAATACAAGCATGGATGCCCTAACCCCAAAAAATCTTTAAGGTAACTGGGGAACTACTGTTTAATCCTTTCAACTCATCTCTGAAAATCTCTTTGAAAAAAGTCTCTGAAAAGGACCGCAGACTTCCTCCCATCTCCAGTCTAAAAATGAAGTTACATATATAGGGCTCGAAGATGCTCACAAGAATCTCTTATGCAAGTCTATGAGACCTGCACGGTCATGGTCAGAAGTGAGAATTGGATTCTGGATGGAAACTAGAAACAGGGCACAGCTGTTCTAGTTAGGTAAGTAAATAACTGTAATTATATGAGATTTGGGGGTTACCAGTACCCTCAGAAGCCCTGATATGAAGCCACAACAGAGATTAATCTTAATGATCTGACAGATAAGCACAGTAGCAGGGGAGCACAAGGATGGTAACCATTAGGGGACGGGGGCTGGCCTGTCAAGAGAACCTTTCACTGTACCCTGAATGAACACATTAACTATCAAAAGACCTTTGGGCCATACTAAATGTTTTCTATAAGAAATGTTTTGTGAAGTTAAATTCTATAGGGGGAGTGAATGCAATGGTCCCTTTTCCCATGTAATAAATCAGGCCGCTAGATTATTTTCTGTGTGGCTTGATTGCACAGATCCTCTCTCACCCTTCTGTACCCTTACTTCTCTTCTTCTTCAAAATCTATGTCTTTTGAGTTTTCCTTCAGCTCCTTGCAACTGTGTTATCTTTTAGATGATCTTTGCTGGTACCACAAACCACTTTGCCTGTACTGAAGAACTAGATTATTTCCTGCTTGTAAATATGATCACATATTAAGAAATTGATTATTACTTATCTATCCATGAGATAAAAAAAAATAATAGTGATTCTTTTTCTATAGTAAGGTTCATAATGTATTTGATGCAGATCACCTATGTGACACATTTTATAATAGATATTTATTCCCATATTAAACATGCTATTTCTTGTAAACTTTGAAGACCAATAAGGTTTCTTTGTAACAGATAAACTGTTAAAGTGGTTATAAACATTCAGATTTAATTTTTTAAAAAATAGCAAACATGTTATACTTACCTGCTTTGTGCAATCATTTTGCACAGAGCAGCCCCAATCCACCTCCTCTGGCACTTCTGGCCCCTCCTACCTGCTGAGTGCCCCCAGAGCAAGCTGGGGGCACTTGTGCGTGCTCACTCCTGAGCCACCTCTGTGTGCCTATGGGACACACACAATATGGCTCAGTCCTGCCCCCCGATCCCTCCTTACTGACTGTGATTAACAGCAGCAGGGGCCAATGGCTCCCAGTGCAGTGTCTCAGCCAATGAGAAGAGAGAGACCTGGGAGAGCTCTCGTGCAAATCACTGGATTGGGATCAGGCTCAGTTAAGTACTGGGGGGGGGGGGGGGTTGCACACTGAAGGTTTAATACCTTAAAGGCAAAGCATGTATGAAGATAAAAAATAGTAAGCCTTTATAACCACTTAAAACAAGAACCTCAGGTATATATATAAATATATAATAGAAAGTACATATACTGTATGTGGGGTGATTCTGATTCAAATTCCGCTTGCACATTACACAGCCAAAAGAATAAATCCACTTTATCCTGTTTCAGTTTTACATAAAGATGTGTTTGGTTCAATTTGTATGGAGGGGACTGGAGTTAGATTGGGTCACAGAATAGTAGGGGGTTTCACTGGCCTGACTGCAATGTGGATTACAAGACAAAAAGCTTGTTTGATATTCCCAGTTCGCTGTCTTTTAGTCCAATTACTGTAACATGTTTAGCATTACAGAATGAGTACAGTTGAATGTGACTTGATACTATTAGCCAATTACTGTGCATTTTCATTGTACATAAATCATTTACTTTTCTGAGCACTTCCCATGCACTGTACTAATCCCCTTTGTTGATCGTCCGGTAACAGACGTGCCACTCAGACTGTATATTTTTCTATGCAAACAAGCACACACATGGCCTAAAGCTGTATTCAGGAACCTATGGCATTTGCTTCCTTGCAATTTCACTGCTGATGATAATTTTAGAAACCCACACAGCTTTTTGCTGTCACTGAAGCTAGTCATCATCATATTTTGCACTGGTTGAGGTTCATTAAATGTATCTTAAACTTGTCATGTGGTCTTACCCATAGTGTAAATTATGTGAAATCTCTCAGGATCAAAATGGATTAATCACCAGTTTGTAAGATTTTTCTGTGCTTTGTTCCAAACTGATATGACTGACAGCCATAGCGATCCCATAAACCATAAGGGTAATTCCCCATTTTACAAAAGGGCAGTTTTAATTAAACTTTGTTAGGATCATGTTCTGTTGTTACGTCAGATGCAAACAGTTCTTTGGGAAATTTCATTAATATAGTGTATGTGGCGGATGATTTCTTTATGTATTACTGTAGTACGTGCATACGTATAATTTGTCTGGAAAAAAGACTTGGCAAGGGGATCATTACTAAGCACATAAGACTCTTTTACATACTATACTACTATAAGCCAGTGCTAAGTTCTAAAATATCTAGCTGGAAAAAAGATATTTTAAGTATTAATTGAACTTTTTGAAAAGATGTGTCTATTTTTGGAGAAGGGAAGATAAAGATTCCCCATTAGTTTAGCAAGATTACCCCTAACCTTTTCTTCAGGTGAAGATGAGAACATAGACTACAATAAAAATTCGGCAGAGCTCTTTCCTTCATTTACTGCTACATATACTTGCTCTGGCTTCGATGTATTTTCCATACCACATTGTTCCAGCTCTGCCTAACTCTGTGACTTGGGAGCAGCAGGGGCCCCTTACATACTGACTTTGGTAGGCAGTGGCTTACTCTAAACCCAGACTTGTTTACAATACAGCAGACCAATTATATTTCCATGCTGCAGTTGTATCATGCAGATTGTGTCGGCAATTTTCTAACACATACTAGTAATTAACCAGTGTTACAATTTTCCAGTAATAGAAGGGAATCTTTACATATTGTTTGAATGATTTCTAAAATTGCTCATATTCATTACCCAACTGAAATTAGCCCAGGCTCATAGCTATAAGAGCTGGTATTGCTATACATAAAAATTACCACTGCTATTATAATAATACACAGTAGGTGATGACCAGAGACTGCGGACACAGTACAGGAGATGACCAGAGACTACGGACACAGTACAGGAGATGACCAGAGACTGCGGACACAGTACAGGAGATGACCAGAGACTGCGGACATGGTACAGGAGATGACCAGAGACTGCGGACATAGTACAGGAGATGACCAGAGACTGTGGACACAGTACAAGGGATGACCAGAGACTGCGGACACAGTACAGATGACTAGAGACTGTGGACACAGTACAGGAGATGACCAGAGACTGCAGACAGTACAGGGGATGACCAGAGACTGCGGACACAGTACAGGGGATGACCAGAGACTGCGGACACAGTACAGGGGATGATCAGAGACTGCGCACACAGTACAGGGGATGACCAGAGACTGCAGACATAGTACAGGAAATGATCAGAGACTGTGGACATAGTACAGGGGATGACCAGAGACTGTGGACACAGTACAGGAGATGACCAGAGACTGCGGACACAGTACAGGGAATGACCAGAGACTGCAGACATAGTACAGGGGATGACCAGAGACTGCAGACAGTACAGGGGATGACCAGAGACTGCGGACACAGTACAGGGGATGACCAGAGACTGCAGACATAGTACAGGAAATGATCAGAGACTGTGGACATAGTACAGGGGATGACCAGAGACTGGACACAGTACAGGAGATGATCAGAGACTGCGGACACAGTACAGGGAATGACCAGAGACTGCAGACATAGTACAGGGGATGACCAGAGACTGCAGACATAGTACAGGGGATGACCAGAGACTGTGGACATAGTACAGGGGATGACCAGAGACTGTGGACATAATACAGGAGATGACCAGAGACTGCGGACACAGTACAGATGACCAGAGACTGCAGACACAGTACAGGAGATGACCAGAGACTGCGCACAAAGTACAGGGGCTGACCAGAGACTGCGGACACAGTACAGATGACTAGAGACTGTGGACACAGTACAGGAGATGACCAGAGACAGTACAGGGGATGACCAATTGACTGTGGACATAGTACAGGGGATGACCAGAGACTGCGGACATAGTACAGGAGATGACCAGAGACTGTAAACAGTACAGGGGATGACCAAGAGACTGCAGACAGTATGGGGGATGACCAGAGACTGCAGACACTACAGGAGATGACCAAGAGACTGCAGACAGTAAAGGGGATGACCATGAGACTGCAGACAGTACAGGAGATGACCAGACTGTGGTCCTTTGGGGAGGGAGGGGGAGCGGGTACCTGAATTTGACAGGTACCCACTCCCACTTCCACCGAGTTGTCCTCCCTTTAGTGTGGGCACCCAGCTGTGACAGCGGGCCACTCACAAAGCACAGCTCTTCTCACGCATGCGCAGTGGGCACCTGGCTGTCACAGCCGGGTGCCCACACTAAAGATGCCGGCGCGGGAAGACTGTACAGCGCTGGACCAAGGAACAGGTAAGGTCCTGCTGCAGAGAAGAGCTGAGCGGGTGGCCCGGTATTCTAACACGGTGTGGGCGACATTTCCCCTCCATTTTTTGGGGGAAAAAAGTGCGTCTCATGGAGCGAAAAATACGGTAGCCTTGAGTTAAACTTTAACTACTTGCCCTCCAGAGGATTTGCCCCCTTCCTGATCAGGCCATTTTTTTGTCAAATGGCACTGCGTTACTGTAATTGACAATTGCGTGGTCATGCAACACTGCACCCAAATGAAATTTACGCCATTTTTTTTCTCACAGATTGAGCTTTCTTCCAGGGGTATTTGATCGCCTGTGTGTTTGTTATTTTTTGCGCTATAAACAAAAAAGGCCAACCATTTTGAGAAAAAAAACTATATTTTTGACTGTTTGCTATTAATCGTGTCCAGTAAAAAAATTTTAAAAATCTAATTTCGTCTTAAATTTAGGCCAAAATGCATTTTGCTACATGTCTTTGCCAAAAAAAAATCCCAATATGTGTAAATTAATTAAGTTCACGTAAAAGTTATAGTGTTTACAAATGGCGGTATATATACTGGAATTATTTATTTTATTTTTTACTAGTAATGACGGCGATCAGCAACTTATAGAGAGACTACAACGGGCATTCTGACACTGGACAGACACCCATTATCTGCATAGGCAGGTTTCTAGTAAAGGTGAACTAACACTTTAAATGGAAGGGGACAAATAGTGTGAAATATAGTCGATTTCTGCTAAAAATTCCCAGGTTGCTGTCAGGCCTCAGGTCCCTTCTATGTGATGTATGCCTAATCAGGAGTTACGGGCTTATTTTTAACCTTACTTCAGTTACCTACCCTAGACCCTGGTAAGTTAGTGTGGTTATGTGTTATAGAAGACACTGGTAGTGATAGCAGAATTCAGGCTTTACTTGTGTGGCTTAAGTTACAAACATACAGAGCACATTTCTCAGCAGACAGATTACAGACTCATTACTTCCTGAAGAGATGATAGAGAGAGGGAGGAACAAACAAGTTTTCAGATATACACAACTAGTAACCTTTTAGTGTATAGTGCCATCTACTGGTCAAGTGATATTAACACACAATACTATATATAGTACATTATAGTACATGCTGTTGCATTCCCAACACCCCTTCTCAAGGGCATGTGCATAATTATATGACATTTAGTCTCTTTTGTAGAAAACAATGACGTTCCCTTGGCAAAGGTTTGGTGAGTGCATCTGCAGTCATCTCCTCTGATGGGCAGTACTGGATGTCGATAACCCCTTGTTCTTGCATGTCTCTGAGCAGATGATATCTTACATCAATGTGCTTGGTTCTTGGGTTAATCTTCTCAGAGTGTGTAAGCTTATGCATCCCTGATTGTCTTCAAAGATGGGTGTGGGTTGTGACATATTCAGTCCCATGTCTAGTAGAAGTTGACGAATCCAAATGGCTGCTTGACATGCATGTGCTGTTGCTATGTATTGCGCTTCAGTTGAAGAGAGTGCAACAGTCACTTGTTTCCGATGGTTTTGCGACCAGGAGGGAGTTCTGTTAGTGACCAAGTTTTATTTTCTTGAAGTGATTTTATTTCTTCTTCAGCTGCTTTTCTCCACTGATCGGCTTCCCTTCTCGGCAAAGTTTCTATGTCTTCCCAGGATGTTGGCTCCTGTGTTTGATGTGTTTTAGCAGCGTATGATAACCTGCGGGGTGGTATCCCTTTTGTCATTCGAGAGGATCTTCTGATTTCTTGTTGTTCAGTGGGTTCTATTGGATCGTTGATTGTAAGTTCCACTTCTTGTTCTGGCTCTTGTCCTGCTTCGCATGGGTCAGTGTCTCTTGACGATTTAGTGTGTAAATCTCCACATTTTTCAAGAATTGTATTATCTGGTGCTTCACTTTCATCAAAATAAACACTGCGGCTTACTGTGACCTTGTTGGTCTTTGGACAAAGGATTCTATATCCCTTACTCTGCTCACTGTAGCCAACCAGAATGCCTTCTATGGCTTTGTTCTCCAACTTGGAGCGTTTCTGACTTGGAATGTGGGCATATGCTTTACAGCCAAATACTCTGATATGTCCTATGTTGGGTTTTGATCCATTCCACATTTCATATGGTGTACTCTCAATAGCTTTTGATGGGAGCCTGTTTTGTAGGTATGTTGCAGTCATTATTGCTTCTCCCCAGTATTTGTTAGGTAAGCCAGCGTCCGTAATCATACATCTTGTCATTTCTACAAGAGTGCGATTCTTTCTTTCCGCTACACCGTTTTGCTCAGGAGTGTATGGTACGGTTGTTTGGTGTATAATACCTTGTTTCTTTAGGTATGATTCCATCTCTTTATTCATATATTCCCCTCCATGTCAGTGCGTATTATTCCAGGTTTCCTTTGAAACTTGTTGCTTGTCATAGCTACAAACTCTTGAAGTTTTTCTAATGTCTCACTTTTGTGCTTCATTAGATACGTTATTGTGTACCGGGAATAATCATCGATGAAAGTCAGTAAATATCTGTTCCCGCCAGGTGTGATGGTTTTCATTGGTCCGCACACATCACTGTGTATCAGTTCCATGGGTTTAATGGTTTTACTCTGACTGGTCTGTGGAAGAGAGGTTCGGGTGGCCTTTGCTTTGATGCAACACGTGCACTTGCTGAGTGTGTGGCAAGGCAATATTTTCATGTCTTCTGATAGACCTCTCTTTGCAAAGTCCTTTATAGCTTCTGGGTTTCGATGCCCCAATCTTCTATGCCACAGGTGGATGCACTTGTCATGTGGGTTATGAGTTGCCACATTAGCCTTCTCACTTTCAGTGACGAGTTTGTACAGATGTTCATTTAATCTTCCTCTTGCTAAAATTTGCTTCCATTTTGAATTGTGCATTCATTACCTCTGAACTGGACAGTGAGTCCATTGCTTGCAAGGGTTTTAACTGATAGGAGGCTTCCTTCTAGGCTTGGAACATATAGAACATTCTTTACAAGGATGCTCTGCTTGCCCCCTGATGGCGTTTTGCAGTTCAGAAATCCCTGACCTTTACCTTCTGCTGTAATACTTTTCCCATTTGCTAGGAAGACTTTATCTTTTACACTAAAATCAATTTCTGTGAAGAATGTCTCGTCACTTGTCATGTGACTTGTTGCCCCTGAATCAATGTACCATCCGTGTGAGGTACTATTCTGAGTCACTTTAAAAGTACCACTCCATGATGCACTTTCATTTTCTTTCATGACTGCTTTAGCTCTTTCTCTTGTGGGTAGCTCCCGCTTTCGCTGCTCAGCTTTCCAGATTGAACAGTTCTTTTTCAGGTGACCGGCCTTTTTGCAGCGAAAACATACCCTGTTTCTTTGCTTTGTCTTATGCCTTCATGCACCTTCAGAGCTGCCTCTGGTCTCTCGTTCTCTTCACTATGCAAATTTTCCTTTCTTCTGCTGTATTCATCAATTAATTTTCCCTTAACATATTCTAGCGTCAGTTCAGTTTCCGGTCTAGTTTCTAGAGCATTTATAAGGGCACTGTATGATTCTGGAAGGCTGCACAGAAGTATTGAAACAACATGGTTGCTTTTTAAATCTTCACCTATTGCACCCAGCTGGTCCACAATTTCTAGCATAGCATTTACATGTTCACCCATTTCCTGCCCTTTTTCCAGCCTCATCTTATACAGTTTGCGTAGCAGATATAGTTTGCTGTTTAGGTTTGCATGTTCATGCAGCTTTTGTAATGCAGTCCACATACCTTTAGCTGTGCTTTCTTTCCTTATATGAATGAGCTGATCGTCCTCCACTAACAGGCTTATGACTGCTTTTGCTTGCCTGTTTTTTCTGTCCCATTCTTCCGGGTTGTCATTGGGTCTGTGTGTATCTAGTACCTGCCACAAGTCATCTTTGGATAACAGCATTTCAAGCTTAAACTTCCATAGCTGGTAGTTGGTATTGTTGAGCTTTGCTATTGTAAACTTCATATCTGAAGCACTTGCCATCTTTCAGTGAATTGGATTGTAAATGCAGCACTTACTTGCTTGTAGTTTTCCTTTTTTTCAGTGTCTGGAGCTGGGCCCATAACCTGTTGGTTATGTGTTATAGAAGACACTGGTAGTGATAGCAGAATTCAGGCTTTACTTGTGTGGCTTAAGTTACAAACATACAGAGCACATTTCTCAGCAGACAGATTACAGACTCATTACTTCCTGAAGAGATGATAGAGAGAGGGAGGAACAAACAAGTTTTCAGATATACACAACTAGTAACCTTTTAGTGTATAGTGCCATCTACTGGTCAAGTGATATTAACACACAATACTATATATAGTACATTATAGTACATGCTGTTGCTTACACATAACAATCAAGATTTGTTCATGCAAGAAATAAAGTAAACATGGTAAATTGTAGTTGTGGTAAATGTTATTTTCACATTGCTCTGAATATAATAGAGGTAGACTTTACCGTGACTTTTTCTTGATTTATGCAAACTGCCCTCATCAGAAAATACAGAGTCTTGGAAGTGTTCGCTTCCTGGATTGATATCTTCATCAATTCCACTTTCGGAGGAATGGCCACTTAAAGTTCCTTCTTTCCGATTTTTATAAACATCATCAGTACCATTTCTGTTTTGCTCTGAGCTTTTTACATCTGCTAAGGTATTTGTGGTCTGATGAAAGTGCTTGGTTAGAAATCCAATAAATCTCATGCCTTTTCTGGACGCCTCATTTACCTACATTAACAGATGGTTGGAGAGGTTGATCATATAAGTATGGAATTTAAGTTAGAATAAACAGTACAAAAGCAGATCATAAAGTGCAAAGTAAAGACAAATACTTAGTAAATGTCCTAATAGCTACGGAGTTATACATGTAAGTAAATTATATGTTCACATATGCAGTTTGACAGACATATGTCAAAAAGCCCCACTCATCTCTATGGTGAACACAGGCAATAATACATACCTGTTAAAGCTGATGTTTAGTGAATTTCTTTCTTGCTTTTTTCAAACAGCACCAGGGATATGTCTTACCAGAGAGATGCCTTTTTAGCACAAAGTATGTAGACAGAGAATACACCCCTGCCATGCCCCCTTTTTACATGACCCATAAAGAATTCATACCACAAAAAAGTATTTGTTAAACCCACAAGATTTTTTTCAACTAGTTTTCCGTATTTAGACTTTGGATGAAAGTTTGCCTGTGGTCAATAAACAGTACTTTTTTTTAATTCTTTATGAAAGATCTTGTGGTTGATGATGTTCAAGGCATACAAAAGTGTACTCCATGATAAATAGTAAATGTTTCGTGAAGTTCTATTAAGTACACTAAAAAAAAGATAACTGAGTAGGATTGAAGGATTTGCTTAAAAAAAAGAGATTGCACAGCCAAATGAGGGAAAGCTGGGAGCGTAAGCTACCATTGTTGCGTCAGGTCAATTGGCTAGGAACTAGATAAGCCCAGGACTAGATTTTTTTTCAACTTTAACCACTTTCCCTCTGCCCTATAGCAGAAATACTGCTACAGGGTGGCAGGGCTGCTCAAAATCACGTATATATACGTGATTTTCATTGCCGGATAGGGGGCACGCCTACTTGCGCCGCAGTTGGTGACTACAGATGTCAATTCCGGCCGGTGATTCCCCGCCAACACTCGGCAATTGTCGGGGAAAGCAGAAAGGGGAGAGACCTGTGTGTTAACAACACAGGTCTCTCTTCTGTCAGCATGGACATGTTGTTTTGTATCTCTCTGCACAGCAGAGAGATACAAAACAGCATGTCTCCCTAGTGTAAAACAGCACACAGTAAAACACACACCACACACCGTTAACCCTTTTGATTGCCCCAGATGTTAACCCCTTCCTGCCCAGTGTCATTAGTACAGTGTCAGTGCTTTTTATCAGCACTGATCACTGTATTAGTGTCACTGGGGATGTCAGTGGCTGTTAGTTAGTTCCCACCCAGTGTCAGAATGCCCGCCGCAGTCCGCTATCAGTAGCTGATCGCCACCTTTACTAGTATAAAAATAAAAATTCCAGTATATATACAGCCATTTGTAGACGCTATAACTTTCACGTCAACCAATTAATTTACATGTATTGGGATTTTTTTTTTTTAGCAAAGAGATGTAGCAGAATACATTTTAGCCTAAATTTATGAAGAAATTAGATTTTTTAAATTGTTTTATTGGATATGTTTTATAGCAAAAAGTCAAAAATATAGTTTTTTTTCAAAATTGTCGATTTTTTTTGTTTATAGTGCAAAAAATAAAAACCACAGAGGTGATAAAATACCACTGAAAGAAAGCTCTCTTTGTGGGAAAAAATGACATTAATTTAATTTATGTACAGTGTTGCATGACTGCACAATTGTCAGTTAAAGTAATGCAGCGCCGTATTGCAAAAAATGGCCTGGGCAGGAAGGGGGGGGGGTACATCCTCTGGAGGGCAATTGGTTAAGGGCTGGTTCACACCAGATGCAGTCCAGTACGTTTTTTTCCTGCATAAAAAATGCATGCAGGGTGTTTTCCATGTAGTCCAATGGCCCTAGTTCATACAAGTGCAGTTTCCAGTACAAAAAAAAAGAACATGCTATACTGGAAAACAGCAAAATACATAAAAAAACACAACAGAATGGAGTGTGGTGTGAACTGTAAGCAAAAACTCATCTGGAAAGCATCCAGTGTGCGTTTTTGTGGAGTGAACTGGCCCTAAGGTGCATACTTTTCTGAAGCAGGCCTTAACTTAAAAACAACCCTTTCCCAAAGTTTACATAAACTGCTGTCAAATAGGAAATATTCAGCTTAACTACATGCCACCCAGCCACTGTACATATACGGCGGCAGGGCGGCACTCACAGGCAAAACCACGTTTTAAGACGTGTGTTTTGTAAACAAATAGGGGGCGCGCGCGGATCACCGCCGCAGATGTCAGTCGCCGGGTCACAGCCGCTCGTTAGTGGCTATGTTCTGGCGATCGGCGGCAAACAGTGACAGACAGCACAGCTGCAGTAGCTGTGCTGTCTGTCACTTCCCTGTCAGCTCAAGGATGAGCTGATCGAGAAAGAAGCGTTTTCTGTTTCTCGATCAGCCTTGTCCCGCCAGTACACACCCCCACCCCCTAGTAAAACACTCCCCTCACTCCTATAACCCTTCCCTGCAAAATAAAGTTAACCCCTTCCTCCCCATTGCCATTAGTACAGTGTCAGTTTTTTTTTTTTTTTTGCACTGATCACTGTATTAGTGTTTTTTGGGGATGTCAGTGACCCCAAGTCAGTACCCCCCAATGTAGAATGTCCGCCGCAGTCCCGCAGTCCCCGTCCCGCCATAAGTCGCTGGTCGCTGCCATAAGTCCCTGATCGCCGCCATAATTCGCTGATCGCCGCCATTATTAGTATAAAAAAAACACCTAAAAATCCCAGTATCTTTCCCGTCATTTGTAAACACTATAACTTTCACGTAAACCAATTAATTTACACGTATTGGTTTTTTTTTTTTAGCAAAGACATGTCGCAGAATGCATTTTGGCAGAAATTTATGACTAAATTTGATTTTTGCATTTTTTTTTACTGGACATGTTTTATAGCAAAAAGTCCAAAATATAGTTTTTTTTTCCCTCAAAATTGTCAGCCTTTTTTTTTATAGCGCAAAAAAATAAAAACCGCACAGGCGATCAAATACCACCAAAAGAAAGCTCAATTTGTGGGGAAAAAAAAGGATGTAAATTTCATTTATGTACCGTATTGCATGACCGCGCAATTGTCCGTTAAACTAGCGCAGCGCTGTATAGCAGAAAAATGTCGTAAGTTGCAGTATTTATACCATAGTTTGTAGACGCTATAACTTCCACACAAAGCAATCAATATACACTCATTGGGATTTTTTTTTTTACCAAAAACATGGAGCAGAATACATTTTGGCCTAAATTTATAACCAACTTTAAGTTTACTATATATTTTTTATAGCTGAAAGTAAAAAAATATTGTTTTTCTTCAAAATTTTTGGCCTTTTTTTTTTATAGCGTGAAAAATAAAAAGCACACAGATGATCAAATACCACCGAAAGAAAGCTCTATTTGTGTGAAAAAAAGGACGTAAATTTCGTTTGGGTGCAGCATTGCATGACCGCGCAATTATCAGTTGAATTAGTGCAGTGCCGAGTAGCAAAAAGAGGCCTGGTCATTAAGGGGGGTAAATCCTCTAGAGCTCAAGTGGTTAAAAAAACTTACTGCTACATAGCCAGTGAACAAAAGCTCTGCTCTAGTCTTCAGAGATCAAGTTATTTCCCCTTTAGGCAACCCCATCTTGCCTCTCTTACACAGCATAAAAAAATTAGAGGTTAGGGTGTCAATGACATTACTTTCTCACAGCATTTTCTGTGACATTGTGTGCTACCATGATCTGTAGACATAAAGCAATCTCTAGAAGATTGGAGATAGGGGCTTAGCAATTGACTGTTGACAAAAAGTAGCAATTTGCCAATCAGTAACAATGCTGCTTAGTCTGCTAAAGAAGGGTAAAGAAGAAAGCTTTTGAAGATAGATAGGACAATGTTTATATATACGTGGAAAATTGCACAAGACAGTATAGAATTTGTATTTCTTTACAATTTAAAAATTTTTTTTTTTTGTTCATAATTGCTAAATAAACCAAAAGACAGAGATTATTTCTTTACATTGTTATTACACTTTGTGAATGATGAAACAGTTGGTCACAATGGTTGTAGTACGGTACAGATGGCCCAGAGGAGGCAAGTTACTAAAATACTGCATTAAGGACAAATCTGAACTGCAGCACATTCTAGTACACACAGAATTCACAGATCTATGTCTTTGTGCCCTCTTATGCATTACAACACCTATCCACCATGGAGATTTGAACCGTTTCTGTAAAGCATGATGAATCTTTAAAATATATTGAATTTAGAAAGCATTCATAATCGCAGACACCACGATACAATTCCTTTAAATGCCATTTCTATCAAAATTGATTTTGGTTGGAAAATCTACGGTAATGTGAGAGGGTCCATGCACACTGGCTTAAAAAAAAAGCTGCTCTTAGAGGAGTTTATTTATTTATTATTTATTTGCCTGTAGAAGCAACTAGTGTTATCCTATGTGTCAATGCACATTAGGTTGTTTAGAGGCATATTTTAACCACTTGCCAACCGTGCTATAGCCGAATGACGGGTACAGTGCAGTTGTCCAGTTCTGGGAGGGTGTCCATATGATGTCCTCCCAGAACGTGCCTTCCTGTGTCCCCCAGCAGTGCGGACACAGCTGATCACGTGATGAGGTAAACAACCAATCACGGCGACCTTTTACCACATGATCAGCTGTGTCCAAGCACACAACGTGAGGAAGTACTGCCGATAACCGGCAATTGTCAGAGAACAGATCGGCACTGATCATCAGCAGTGCCACCCACCTCTGCCCATCAGTGCCACCCACCAGTGCCCATCATTGCCACCCAGCAGAGCGGCCAGTCAGTGCCGTCAGTCAGTGCTGTCCATCAGTGCCACCTATCAGTGAGATCATTGCTGCATATCAGTGCAGCATCATCAGTACCACCTATCAGTGCCCATCAGTGCTGCCTATATGTGCCACCTCATCAGTGCTCATTAGTGTCACCTATCAGTGCCCATCAGTGCTGCCTATCAGTGCAGCCTCATCAATGCACATCAGTGGAGAAAAATTACCTGTCTGCAAAATTTTATAATAAAAACAAAGAAAAACTTTTTTTTTTTTTCAAATGTTTTGCTCTTTTTTTGTTTATTGCGCAAAAATAAAACACCCAGTGGTGATTAAATACCACCAAAAGAAAGCTATATTTGTGTGGAAAAAATGATAAAAAATTCATATGGGTACAATGTTGCATGACCACGCAATTGTCATTCAAAGTGCAACAGCGCTGAAAGCTGAAACTTGGCCTGGGCAGGAAGGGGATATAAGTGCCCGGTAGGCAAGTGGTTAAGCTCAGCATTTAGAGGTATTAAAAAAAAACCTCTGGTTTGCTTTTTTGAGAGCAGTTTTCTGTCAGAAAAAAACACTAAATGCTCCTAAACGCTAATACAAAAAATGCTCAAAATGTGTGTTTTTTTCTGCCAAGAGCACTGGTGTTTTTTTAAGTCAGTGTGTTTGGACCCTAAGGCTCTTTATTCAGTAATATGCATAAGCTGGAGTAATGGATGCTGATCAAAACTCAAGATGGGAGATCTATCCATATATTGTACCATATTTAAAAAATGTTAAAATCTGCAATATCAAGTGAAAAAAAAACAAGTCAGTGATTACCTTTTCTATCAGAATTTTCACACCTTCGTTTGTAAGTGCTTCATACATTGACATCCATTCCTCAACAACAAGGCTTGCTCGCTTTTGTCCTGTGTGTGCGGTATGTTGTTGACTGAGAAAAACAAAAATGAATGATTTATTTTTGCAGTTAATTTACTATAACCAAATGTTATATTTTATTCGGCACTAGAAAAAGTATATTATCCTGTTATCTACACACTTTGTATTCTAGCATAATAATAATGCAGTGTAGGGATGTATCGATACCATTCTCGATACTGGAAACCGATACATTGCGTCAATACAAATTGCAGCGCAAAGATTAGAATGCGATTCCTGTCCACATCGCATGCGATTTCCCCAATGCTCCTGTGTGAACCCAGGCTTGTCATAGCCCGAGTTCACACAGGAGCGGTGCAGGAAACCTCCCTGCAGGCATCCTATGCTGAGCGGAGAGTGGGGATGTACTATGGGCAGATGCTCCATATTCTCATCCACACTGTAGCCTGCATGTGAAGTGAAGTTATCACATGTAAGCTGCAGATTTCCTCCCACTGGAGTCACAGTCTCAATGGACACAGTGCACTACTATTCCTGACAGTGACAGTGATCACTGGAAACAAAAGCCAACTTAACCAGCTGCCAGGATTGTCTTTAAAGTGGCACTAAAGCTTTGCTTTTTTTTTCTAAATAACTAACATGTCTACATTTACCTGCTCTGTGCAGTGTTTTCTTTTTTTCAGGTCCCTGCTGGTGCTCCTGGCTCCTCCCCCTCAAGCAGTGACCCCCAGGGAAAGCCTCTTGCCCTGCTCCATGCTGGTCCCTGAGCTGCTCCTCTATGCGTCCATAAGACACATAGAGCCGCAGCTCCCTTCCCCCCCGCTTTCTCCTCATTGGCTTGCTGGCTGTGATTGAAAGTAGTGGGAGCCAATGAGATCCCGCTGCTGTCTCAGCCAATGACAAGGAAGAATCCCCAGACAGCAGAAGCTGTCGAGAATGTTGCTGGATCGGAGGGGGCTCAGGTAAGGATTGGTTTTTTACCTTCATGCCTAGAATACATGAAGGTAAAAAACCTTGAGCCTTTACAACCACTTTAATCTTTGTGTTGTGCGCTTTCTGTGCCATGTTGCTACACCATGATCTGGCTTATTATCCTTGCTGCGCCCAAATTGCTACACTGAGATCAGGGGCGGACTGACAACTCATAGGGCCCCTGGGCAATAGGGGATCATGGGGCCCCTGTGTCCTTGCCCAAACTCAAAAAAGCCTATGGAAAAGGTACCAGGGGCATCTCATGGGGCCCCCTACTGACCCCGGGCCCTCGGGCAGTGCCCGAGTTTCCAAATGGTCAGTCCACCCCTGGCTGAGACTCTGAGCTATCATTGCTTTGATATCATATTGCTATCTTGGGATTCTCCTGCTTATCTTTGATGGGCTTGGATCACTGTTCTGAGACTCTGGACAGTCCAGTGACTGGACATTGAAAGGAGAAGCAGCAGAACATTGAGCTCAGCTCTCTATCACTCTGCTTTTTATCAGCATGCTTCTTGGCTCCTTGTGCTGCATCTTCCTCTCACACTCCAGTCTGTTGAAAGGGATTGCAAGAGGCTCATACCAGGTCAGATTCAGGTAATTACACTACATGTATTTAAAAAATACTTTACATTAAATAGTGTAATAATGAATGCAGTACTGCATTCATTTGTCTGTTATATCTGCCTAGAGTTCAGCTTTAAATGTTACCATATTGAAGAAAGCAATTATGATCTGAAAGATGGTGGAAAGGTCACTTACCTTAATTTAAGTCGATACAGTACTACTCGATACAAGTAACTAATAGGTAAATGTCTTCTACGACCACTGGACACAATAACTGGATGGACTGCAGCAACTGTATAGCCTCTTAAATAGTATTCTTCCACTTTACTTGGAATATCAAGTAAAGATTTTATCCTAATAGCGTTGATACTCAAGGAAGCTAAGAAAAATAAGCAAAAAACATTAAATTAATTATAAGGATACTATAATAAAATCATAAAATAATGTAAAATGTTTGCTGTAGGTAGGTCGGCTATAAGTTAACACAGACAGCTATATGTAAAAATGGACATTAATTCCAACAACACCTCTAAACTGAACAAATCATTCAGGAGACTTTGGAAACAACCAATGACACTCTGGGGTTTATTTACTAAAGCTGGTTCACTCAGAATCTTGTGTACCTGTGCATGGTAGCCAATCAGCTTCTAATCTCAGCTTGTTCAATTAAGGTGCAGCAATAAAACCTGGAAGCTGATTGGTTTCGATGCAGAAGTGCACAAGATTCTGAGTGGACCAGCTTTAGTAAATAAACCCCTCTATGGCTAGGATGCCCAACCTCATATGTTCCTCTGGTGATGGCAGCTGGCTTGCATTCAGGAGTGAACCAAAGTCCACCTCCTCCAGGCCTCCTCTATCTCTGCTGGAGTAAAAGTGTAGGGTTCTGATGTGAAGAGGGAGATGTGTAATTGGGGTACCTCTGTAATGGGGGGGCTGTGTGATTGGGGTAATCTGTGATGGGGGGGGGGCTGTGTTACTAGGGTGAAAGGGAGCCTTTGATGATTTGCTGGAAGGACTCACATATCAGGGCTTCTGACATAATAGGGAACCACTGTTGTTATGGGGGTCCTCTTATGTGAAGTGAGGATGTAAAGGGTGGGCTCTGTTGTGATGGAGGGCTTCTAATACTCTTTTTAACTGGGGTTCCTTGACATTCTGCATACTTCTAAAGGCTGTCAGATCTGATAAAAGGTTAAGAAACTCTGAGTTAGACCTGAGCATAGTAAATACAAATTAAGGGGGTGCTGCTTCTTTCCCTGTGACTAAAATGGCTGCTCCAATTTACATACTGTGCAAGCTGTGACAGAGACTGTTAAGGAGTTTCCACTAGAATCAGACTTAGCACAGCTGGAACAGTGTAGCAGGTAAGGTAATTATCAATGGGGTGGGGGGAAAAGGTGAAAAAAAACAAGATAACCTGTCACTTTACTTTATAGGTACACTGCAGTTTCTATTAATTTCAATAGATGGTATCTCAGCACTTCATTTGGAATAAGGGAGTTGGCTATAGACACCAGAATCCTTTCTATTTAATTATAGCCAACTCTCATATACAATACACTAGTAATCATATTTCCCTCCATTTATGGTAGATTTACCTAATATAAGGGAATCAGTTACATAAGTATTTAAACAAAAAATTCAAAATGCATAAAATGGCCAGACGATAATTGCCGCTCAAGACTTGAAGGTGTAAAAAGCAGCACATTCAAAATGAATCTTGTTATCTGAGCCCATGCACAATAAAGATGATTTTGATATTTTGTAGAAATACGTATGTAAGTAATTCCCTTATGTTAGGTATTTTTACTATAATTGGAGAGGAATTTAGTTACCAGTTCATCAACATTTGCAGACAATCCTTCAATCAGAATAGATGCAAATCATTGCATTACTGTGAAGGGGGTCACTGACTGGCTGCATAGAATCTTCAGTAAAGGCTCTGCAGTGTGGATAGCACATGGTGCAGATCACTGGATACCTATGGTTTCAATGAATGCAAGGCAGAGAAAAGGGGCAGCCACAGTGACGTCTCGTTTTACACTTCGTCCAATTGCAGAATGCTTCCTATTCATTAACAAAAATACAAGGCACACTATGAATAGCATAGTTGCCGTGAAAGTGACCCCTGAAGTCAGTGAGCAGAGAACATAAGAGATCATGACTCTCACAGTATGTAGTGCTGACTTCTACAGAGAAGAGGGGGAACCAGGACCGCCAGCAGGGGACCCAAGAAGAGGAGGATCAGGGCTTCGCTGTGCAAAACCATTGTACAAAGTAAGTAAGTATGACATGTTTATTATTTTAGAAATAAAAATGAAACAGAATCACTTTAACCTCCCTAGCGGTATGATTATTTCATATTTTTGGTGCTGAAAGCGGTACCATTATTTTGCATGGAAATATGTAGTTTTTTTTATCGTAGGCTGCAATTTTTAGGAATAACTCACTGAAATCTGTCTGAACAAGATTCTAAATCATACATTTAATTCAATAATATAATCAAACCAAAAACACTGAAATTTGAAATATAGCGCCAAGTTCGCACATCGCTGAGCAAAGTCGCAAAATTGTTTTCAGTGTCTGATGACGAATTTCCCCACGAATCATTATCACTCAATTCTGCAAGTGGTTCTGATTTACTATCGCTGTTCTCTAGCTGATCTAAACCCGCTTTTGACCTAAAGGGACACTTTTTGGACGCCATGGGTTGAAACAGCAATGTTTTACTATGTAAAATCGTTTTGAAAAAAATGCCATTTTTTTAAATTTTTAAATTTCCCGCCGCCGCCGGCGCCCGTACGTCCCGACGTCACAGGGACCGGAACACAGGATCGTATCGGCCGGAGGAGATGGCCGGGGACGCTGCAGGGGACACATCGCAGGAGCCAGGGACAATGTAAGTGCTGCAGGGACTCCCTATGCAGCGCTGCATGGTAAGCCCGAGTGTAGCTCGGGGTTACCGCTTTTGGTATAGACATTTTACCCCGAGCTACACTCGGGAATACCGTTAGGGAGATTAAAGCTGAACTAAACCCAACAGTTTAATGGTTGGTCACAGCTCTGAATAATAAGGCTTCTTCACACCTTAAATGCAGAAAAACTTATGGAAAAACTGTGCAGATTTCACTTGCAGAGACACGAGCTTACATCGGTTTTCATGCGCATTTCAATGAGTTTTGTAAATGTTGCAGATTCCTATGCAGAAAAAATCCGCACATGATACTACTGCAGTGTTGTGGTGAGAACAGGACTCATAAGGAACAATTGTTTTCTTTGTGCCCTTACAGAACGCATGCAGAAAGACTCCGATCCCTGCACATTGGTGTGAACAAGGCCTTACTGTAACATTTGTTTTTGCCCTCAACCAAACTGTCAAGCCATCAGATGGCTGGTGTCATAACTGATCACAAGTGCAGTGCCCTGGAAACTGCAGATCAAATAAAAGCAAAGATGGCAGCTTCCATGACTGTAAGGTATAGTAGAGTTTAGTGCTGCTTTAACAATGGGTTCACACTGATGCACTGCGGTTTGGGTGCAGTGCAATTGTATATGCGTTTTACATGTGGCTTTAGGTGCTCTCCCATTGACTTCTTTTAGATAATGCATTAAATGAAAGCACATCAAAGATGCAGCATGGGGGACTTTAATGTCTTCATGAAATTGCAGGGTCTAATAAAATTCAGAGGGGCGCAGATAAAGTGTGCTGCACCCATACTGCAGCACACCAGTGTTAACCCGTTCTAAGTTGTGGTTGTTCATAAAGTACTTTTGTTATGGCTTTTTTTTAGTCCAACAATAGCACCTTCCTGTACACATTCAGCCAACAATTACAGTGCAGGTGGCTGTGAGGCAAAGTGTTTAGCTGTATCTTTGCCATCTATAACAAGCCATGTTTTTTTTGGTTTTGTTTTTTTTTTAGAGCTATTGAAAGCCATTATATAGTATACATGTGCCTTTATTCTGTCTGCTTCTGAGTAATGAATGAACATCCGTTTTGTTCTGTTCCTTTATTGTTACACATTGCTACAGTTTCTCTTCTGAGTCTTTTTTTATTCCATAAATATTTTATTGCATTTTCACAAGTATAGCAGTCATTCAGAATAAATATTGTACAAAACAATACATTAATGAGTAAACAGATTGGATAGATATAAGTAAAGGTTAAGGTGATAAACCAGATTAATATGTTTAAAGCCCCATACACACGATGAGAATATTGGACGAACGATTGTCTGTTTTTTGGGGGGTTTTGCATGCTAGTCTTATATCAATAATGAAAAGGTTACTACTCCCTTAGGTTAGACTCCCTCAAGAGTTGGTTCTGGCCAGCTCAGTGGATTGCTTTAAAAAAGGCCTGGATGCTTTCCTAGATACACAGAATATAACTGGATACTAACATTTATAGGTAAAGTTGATCCAGGGAATATCTGATTGCCTCTCAGGGGATCAGGAAGGAATTTTTTTCCCTGCAGGAGCAAATTGAATCATACTTTTTTGGGTTGTTTTGCCTTCCTCTGGATCAACTGTGGGTGTAGGATTATAACTTTTTTTTTTTTAATGGTTGAATTGGATGGACTTTTGTCTTTTTTCAGACAGACTAACTATGTAATGTTCTCATTGCTCTGGACATGGCTAATAAATAGACAAAATGCATGCGTCAACTGTCAATGGTACAGATATCCATGTACATTTAAGAATACATTTGACTACATCATTCCAAAAGGACTGGACCCTTGGACATTGCCAAAAGACGTGTATGAAGCCTGTCGGGTCTTCCAAGCAACGTCAGCACGAGAGAGTAAGGTAGATCCTGTGCAACTTCTGTGGAGTAATATAGATTCTACGTAGTATCTTGAATTGAATCAACCTATCTCTTGCGGATACTAATTTGTTGCATAGGATATTCCCAGATGTCCTCCCAATCCTCTGAATCCATGTCCGGAGCATCTACAGTCCAGTTGGCCACAAGCCTCTCCAGGCCAACCTGAATAGTTGGGTTAAGAGCTTTGTACACATTAGACAAGGCTTTCGCAAGGGAGTTGTCCCACCATAAACTTTCCAAAGCTGACTCCTCAAAAACAATCTGACAATTTTGAAATTGTGACTGGAAGGCGTCTTAACGGAAGATAGCAAAATAGATAACTGTTAGGCAGGACAAATTGTGCTTTCAGAGAATCAAAGTTTGCAAGGCTACATGTTCACAAATTTGGTTGAGATATTTAATCCCTTTGCCAGCCCACACCCCTGGGTCAGGAAAAGTAAAGAATTCCGTAAGATTAGGGTTATACAATAAGGGCGTATGAGGGGACCATATATAGGAGCTGTTAGGAATTTAAAGGTGACAGGCTTTCATAAGTGCTTTCATAGATTGAGTGG